GACCCCCTCATGTGTGCCCCCTGAAATAATTTGACATAGCCTATTTTTTACACTGAAAGAGAAATATACGTGAATTGTATCAGAAAGATATTAGATATGTATGAAAAATATTTTCACTATGTTGTGATATTTTCATTAATGCACTCTAAAAAATGTTGTCTAGGCTCAACAAAAAAAATCAACGCAACAGTTTGCATTGATCTTTTTTGAGTTACGGCAACTTAGAGAGAAATTAACTTTAACTGACAAACAATATTGAGTTAAGGGAATTAGCTTTTCATCTGCAATCAAAGGTATTTTTAATCACTACTTACTTAAAAATTGTTACAGTAAACACACATTTTTAAGTTGATTACTTATTAAAATTAAGTCGTTCCAAGTACTTTTTCCAAGTTATTGAAAAGGAATTTTTAAGTGTTTTGTACTTAATTTCAATGATAANAAATGAAGTCAAAATAAGTCAAATATAAAATATAAAGACGAGACTCTGACATGATGATAATCAGCAGCGACATGATAAAAAAACATCTGTGAAACTTTAATTTCACTAATGAAGCTGAAAGTAAAGCAGGTTTGACACTCTCTCTCTCTCTCCCTCTCTCTCTCTCTCTCTCCCTCTCTCTCTCTCAGTGGGGAGGTGTCCTACTTTAACGCAGGGAACCAGCGACCTTATCGTTGATTAAACAAACAGAAATATTTAGGCCATGGCCAGCGGCACTTTGTCGATCAGTAATGTGCCAACAGTCTGTTCACCATTTGTTTCTTTAACGGAACAACAGACGCAGCTTTTTCATCCCATTAACATTTCTGAAAGAATCACAGAGCCGAGAGCTGGAACCAGAACCTGAAGTGTCTTTAATTCTTTCAGCTGAGGCCTGACACGCACACGCACACACACACACACACACACACACACACACACACATGTTGAATGTAAATCTGTGGTAGGAGGCTTTTTTGCTGCCCCTCCCCCTCAGCCTGTGTCCCGTCTCCTGTCACAACACGAGTGTTAGAATAACTCAACAACCTCAGTTTGATCAACACTCTTTTCTCATAGAATCCAATAATAATAATTGTCTGAATTAATAATTAAAATTAATTACAATTGAAATGTTCTTTTAATGATACAATTCTGTGATGCATCACATACTAATGCATACTTTTATTTTGAAAGATCTCCTCACATTATGAATAGACATTTACTTTGAATGGATTCTGGATTCAAACAGTAAATTCGACTTTGCTTGACACACACATGTTGTTTAACACGTCTAGATCATATTACACACAGAAACCTTCACCTGGTCCAGATGTGGTCACACGTGTGTGTGTGTGTGTGTGTGGTCACATGACAAACTGAGCACAAACTATGAAACAGCAGCTGAAATAATAGAAATATAAAACCAGTGACAGTGAAGAGAGTCAGTGAAGTCTCTGAGATGTTTCCTGTTGGTTCAGTGACGACTGACACATCAGCTCACTTTATTTCTTAATCAGATCTGACTCAGGTGTAGAATCAGATTTTCATCATTTCAATTTTACCACGATGAATCACTTCAACTGTCACAAAAGCAAATGAGGCCGAGCAGCGTTTGAGTCTGTGTTCCCCGAGAGCTGCGACAGAAGAGCAGAACAAAGAATAAGAAGAAATACTGCTCCAGTTTCATTGAGTTCTCTAAAATAAAATTAAAGACAGACGAGCTGATGCTGCTGCTGTTCAAGCTCCGACGTGAAGAAGTCGTCTTTGTTCAGCTCGTCTGAGGTTTGGACGAGTTTCAGACATTAACGAACCGTCCAGAGAGAGAGAGACACAGAGAGAGAGAGAGAGACAGAGAGAGAGACACACACAGAGAGAGACAGAGAGACAGAGAGAGAGAGACACAGAGAGAGAGAGAGACAGAGGTGTTACACAAGCAATTTTTTTAAAGCTGAGTCATTTCTCCTTCATCAGAGAGAAGACGAGGTCTCCTCCTCCATGTGTCCTCTTGTCTCAGTGAATCAGGAGGACGACTCTGACCTTGAATCACAGAACGATTTACATCCAACCTCATTTTGTCCTGAGGGAAATTTGAATGTTGAATCTTCACTTCCTGTTGTTTTGGTTCAGGGGTGTGGAACCTCCGGCCTCTTTTACAACCAGAGACACATTTCATATATACAGAAGAATCACAGCTGCAGGTTATACATGGAGTTATACATGGAGTTATATACCTCCACCACGACACCCTGATAAAGGACATGTCTCCTGTCAACAGGTGGACGTGTGAGTGTGATGGGACTGGAAGAATCAGCTGATCATCGTTTGACCCAGATTCCCAGTGTGGACTTGTGTCCTTGAGGTGTCTGGTGTCCTCAGCATGTTGTTTTACTGTCAGCTGTCCTCTGTCTGGAGTGATCAGGAATCTTTTCTAGATCCTGGTGTTTGAACTTGTTCGTCTTTAACTCTTTAAACCTGATGAACTCGTGTAAGAAATATCACTCAACTCATGTCTGAGGCTGA